CACACACACACACACACACACACACACACACACACACACACACACACGTCTGCTTTATTCTGGTACATTCTCCTTAGTTTTAAGTGGAGGACACTGGGATTTATGAACCCAGTAGGGTCTCCAGTCACAGGACCAGGGCAGGCCTGAGCTCCTGCTTGCCTTTTTGGGGGCCGCGTGGTGTTTTGGATCTGGGGGGTCAGCACCGCGGACAGCGCCGGCCGAAGACAGGGCGGGGCGTCTGCCTAGACGTCACGACGCGTGAAATCCCGGGGGTGCGCGCTCGCGGGCGGCTGCACCACGTGACCCAGGTAATTGGTCCAGCACTCCGCGCGCGCGTCCCCCTCTGCTCAGCCCCTGGACCCGCAGCCCCCCAGGACCGCGGGGCCCGAAACCCCGGCCAGCCGGTGAGCGCGGGCGGCGCGACCCCCGTTCCCTCGAGCAGGCCTCTCTGCTCCTCGCTGCTGGGTGCTGGGGCAGCGCTGCCCGCGACCGGCTGCCCTGAATCTGGTCCTTGGAGGCGGGGGTGGGGCGGGGGGACGTGACCTTGTTTTCGCCCTTGACTAAGTGCGGAGTTCCTCAGGACCCCTGGCCCTTTGTGCGGTTCAGCAGGCGAGTGCAGATTTCGTGGGAAGGAGTGAAGCGCCCACAGGGGGTTTCCGGCCTCAGTGCTGGGTCACCAGCCGGAAGCTTGCAGACCCCCTCCCATTCTTCACATTCCATGGTTCGGGGAGGAGCCTGCCTGGTACCCTTCCCGGGAGAGGGGGCTGCCCAGAGCTGCACTGAAGTTGAGGAGGTTCCAGGGTTGCGCAAGATACGCAGGCAGCTTCGAAGTCCCAGGACTTCGCGGGGACAGGCCCTGTACATTTTAACTGCCGTCTGTGCTCCCACTTGAAGAAACAGAGGCTGGCCAGATTTTCTGGCTCAGGTAATCTGGAGTCTCAGCCATTATGGGAGGTGCTTTCCGCACCCTCCCGAGGCCCCAAGAGGCCTCACCTGACCCAAAGAGCCATACTCTGCAAAGGCCAGCTCTGAAACCGCAAGACTCACAGGGTCCAAGCCCACGCCAGTCTGGGTAGCTCCCCGCCACACATCCACCTGGAACCTTCAAACAGGCCTCACCTGCCTTTGCACTTTTCCCAGTTCTGGGTTTTAGTTTGGCCCTTCCTGTACCCCCTCCCTGACCCACCCTGCTGCCTAGCTCCCTAGCGTCCAGTTTCCAAGAGTGGAGAGAAATGCAAGTTCTGCTTCTTTGCTCTGTTTGAGGTCTTGGGGGTGGAGGGAAGGGGCTCCCTGCTCTGATTTCTTCTGATTTCCCCAAGGGAACCATTATGGAGCAGCCCTGACCTGAGCACCTGTGAGAGACTTAGAAGCAGGTTGCCTGCACTGGTTCCAGAGAGAGATGACCCCAAGATCTGTCCATTAGAAGCTTGCACAGGTCCCTTTTTGGGGGTCCCTGTTGCCAACTTGCCCTACATGAGCAGCACCTAGCAGGGCTAACTAGGGCTCTGGCTGTAGATTTAGATCCCAGTAAAGCTCTGGGGTCCTCCAGCCCAGCTGGCATGGGGGTAGGAAGGGCTGGCATCCCCCGTCGGTTGGGTGAAGGCCATAACAGCGTTTGGCTGCCCAGACTGTTCCGCATTTGTGAAACATAATGTTCCTACACAGGGCCAGGCTGGATAAAGCCAGGCATTGTCCCTATCTGGCCTGAATTGTCCCATCCCACTGTGGGGGTAAAGCTGGCAGGCGGAGCAACTGGGACCTTGCCCCTAAGAGATCTTAGTGCTACCGTGAGAAGGACACAAGTCCTGGAGCAGACAGCTGGTCACTCTTCAACTTAGACTTCTCTGCCTCTGTGCCCCGCTGAGGAGCTGAGTAAGCACTGTGACCCTAGCCTTACCTGGCTGTAGGCCCTTTCTCTTACTATAGTTTATTTGTCTTGCTGTGCAGAATGCAGGTGCCGACCCCCCATGGTTGTTTGGGTTCTTATGATACTCCATGTTGTGAATGTTGTGACCCCAGCTGTCTGACCCTAGGGCCCATGATTTACCTTTGGAAAGCTGCTGCCAGCCCCAAGTGGCTCACTGTGGGGCCTGGCTACTCAACATCAGTCTGAAATGTGTGGGAGGGAACCCTGGGGCACCTGAAGTTCAGAGTTCTGTGAGACCCCCTCCCTCCCTGCAGGAGAATGTATTTTCTAGTTACTGATTTTCCTCTGTTCAGACTTGCTGCGGGTCACCTCAGGAGACCACCCTTCTTCCTTGGCTGAGGAACTGCTTGTCCCTCCAACTCATGTGAGTTTGCACTGGTGAGAGGAGGCAACCTGGGAGAGCCACACCTGTCCTCCGGTGGACTTGATCCCTTGCAGGAGCTCCAGCCAGTGATGTCTCATGGCAGGGCTAGGGTGGAGGGGTGCAGTTGGTGAACAGTTGGCCGGACACACCTAGGAGCATTGATTTAAGGCCGACTCTAAGCAGGATCTGGGAGCCAGTTATACTGGCTAGAACAGCAGTTTTCAGCCTGTAGATCGTGACCCCTTTGGGGGTTGAACAGCCCTTTCACAGGGGTTGTATATCAGGTATCTTGCATATCAGCTATTTACGTTATGATTCATAACTAGTAAAAATTACAGGCATAAAGTAGCAACAGAAATAATTTTATGAGCTGAGCAGTGGTCATGCCTTTAATTCTAGCATTTGGAAGGCAGAGGCAGGCAGATCTCAGTGTGTTCAAGGCCAGCCTGGTCTACAAAGTGAGTTCCAGGACAGCCAGGACTGTTACACAGAGAAACCCTGTCTCAAAATAATTAATAATAATAATAATAATAATTTTATGTTTGAGGGTCACCACAGCATGAGGAACTGTGTTAAAGGGTTGCAGCATTAGGAAGGTTGAGAGCCACTGCCCTAGAATATTTGTGTTCTCAGTCCCAGAGCTGCACAAGGGGCCTGGGCTTCTGGATTCTGATGAGTCGTTCTAGGGTTGTTCCCTGCTTCGAGGCTTGGCCTCCCCAGGCAGAAGAGCCTTAGTAGTACTCAGTAGGAAGGATCTGCTCAGGCTGGGCTGGGTTGGGCAGGGCTGGGCAGGAGATGAGCTATTGTTCATAGCCGTGGGGTCAGAACAGAGATCCCACTTTCCATGAGGTGGCTGGACTCTGGGCCTGCAGGGGGCCTTGGTGGGTCTGAGTGGGGAGCCTGGCAGTTCTCTGGGAGTGGAGGAGACCTTTAAGACTCCTGTTCTTCTGGCAAGAGGTGGCTGAGGAAGTCTCTTCATTGAGAGCTTGCCTGCCCATTATTCAAGCCTCTTCCTTGGCAAAAAGCAGGTAATTAGTCAAGTGAAGGGAACCCAGTGTTGTGTCCCTGTGCCTGGGTGGCCTCAGCTTGGAAGCACTCTGGGCTGACAGCTGCTTTGGGTGGTGTTTGTCCAGTGTGTGAGTTCCAGGCAGCATTCATAGCCTGAGAAGGAGCTGCGGCAGGAAACATCACTTTGCTTGCTTTGGTTTTGCCTCCACCAGATGGAGTCTTGGTCCTCACAACCGTAAAGCGAGGGCTGGTGAGGCCTGGGCTCCTGCCTTATGGTTTTGCCTGAGAGGAAAGGTATCCTGACCCAGTATTGTACTCATAGGGAGTCACTGGTGACTTCTGACCAGTGACCAGCAACACTAGTCATAGTGTGTCTTGTCCTCCTCATCTCTCTGAATCTTTGCTCCCCAGTGTCCTCTCCTTGCCTTTTCTGACCATTCACAGCCAACCCAGTGCCTGGAGGACCCCTGTCCCACCTCCAAGGTGCCCAGCCCTTTTTTGGGTTACTGCCCACATACGTCCTATGATCTTCTGAGTGGGCTCCAGGACCTAAGCTAAGTGCCCTCAGAAGCAGGGCTGTATATGAGGGGATGGGGTAGGAGGGTCCTGGGACCAACAGAGAGGGAGCCTAGGCTGGAGGGAAGGGCCCAGGAGCACTGGGGTTCAGACACTGGAGAAGGTTGCTGAGCCGAAACCTCCCTCTAGGAAATAAAGGTGGAAGAGAGTTTGTTACCTGTGTCTCACCTTGGCTTAGTCTGGGGCCACCATCTAGCAGGACCATAGCTGCTAGGGTACATTTGCACCTATCTGAGCTTCCTTTTGACTTCGTCCTGTGATTTATGCCTCTGTTTCATTGCCCATGCTCAGAATGAGTCAGCTGAGGCTGCTGCCGTTCAGGTTGGGGCCACAGGCCATGAGGCTCCTGGCCACACGGGACATCCCAGTGTCCAGTGGGCACAGGATGTCCTCTGGGCCACCGACCACCGTTCCAAGCAGCAGAAGTGGAGTCAGTTCCAGTTACGTGGAAGAGATGTACTTTGCCTGGTTGGAAAACCCACAGAGTGTTCACAAGGTTGGCATCTGCCTTCTGCATTTCATGGGCGAGAAGCTGCTGGGGTGTGTGGTGGCATGAAGGATTGCTGGGAAGCAGCCATGACCTCAGTCCCTGTGTATCTGCGTGGGGAAGAAGGGAGAGGCTTCTTGCTTTCTTGCTGATGAGACTGGTGAGAGGTGGTTCCATAAAGATGCCTTGCCCAGCATGCCAGAGACCAGTCCTCCCTGGTTATGCTGAGCTCTTTCCAGATGGCTCCTGAGGTGAAATTAAGAAAACAAATGCCTATAGATATATCGTCTGATAAACTAATACCCATTGACAACTAAAGGTGGAATGGGAAAGCCAGTAATCAGTCACATGCTCCGGACTCAAGAAGTTTGAAAAATCAAGAGGTCCCTCCCAGCCTACCATGCAGTTTATTCTTAGTTTCTTCTCTTTCTGAGATTGTTCTTTATGAAAACTTTTTGTAAAGATAACGGAATTTCCCCACTTTTCCGCCAAAGTGACAGGCGGCAGTAGTAGGATTATTGTCTCAAAGAAATCAAAACAAAAGCGTATGCATAGATCTCGTGATCTGTGCCCACTATCCTGCCATCTCCTAAGACCCTGCAACCGGTGTGCAAGGACAGATTTCCCTCAGACAGAAGTCCCTGTTGTAGCTGAATCGTAACCCCAGTGCTGCATCCTGGGCAATGGGTGAGGGCCCTGGGCTAGTAGAGGGTCCCTGAATTGAGGTTCTGGGGCACCCTGAGCACCCTGGTTCCCAAGAGCACTGAGTGCCCTGGGGGGTGGCAACGCTTCATGTTCTGACCTGGCTGGGGTCTTTCTTTCTCCCTACCCAGTCCTGGGACAGCTTTTTCCGGAAAGCTAGTAAGGAGGCCTCTCTGGGTCCTGCTCAGCCACAGCCCCCTGCCGTCATCCACGAAATCAGGCCGTCAGTCTCAAGTTGCACCAAGACCAGCAAGCTGGTAGAAGACCACCTGGCAGTACAATCCCTGATCCGTGCCTACCAGGTGAGAGCAGTCGGTTGATTGAGGCCTGGGCAAGGAGGGTGTGGGGAGGGGGTAGTAGGTGAGAGAAGCGGGAGGCTGAGCTCTGATGTCACTTTCTTTGAGAAGCAGCCTTGCCAGAGGCCATCTAGAGCTCAGAGCACCTCCCTGGTAGCTTTCGAATGTGTTTGCTGGCCTGTCTGTTTCCCCATGCTGTTGTCCACCTCGCACACACGGTGCCCTGAGTGCCCAGAGGGACACTTAGTAGGTAATCAATTGCGTTTAGTGTTAAGTGACTGCGGAACACTCTGACACTTGGTAGCCATTCTCTAGTCTGGGCATTCCAGAAGCAGGGACTGTTTACAGCAGGAGCTCCGTTAGCGAAGATGGGATGAGTCAATAATTCGCCAAACACGGCTCCCCCACCAGCTGCTCACTCTCTCACACTGGATCCCCTGACTGGGCCCAGTCGTTGACAGTGTGTCTTGGTGATGATCCGTGTTCTTGACAGAACAGACTAATTGGAGGGCCACACTGTTGATGCCATAACAGGCGCAGTCATTGAGGATATTTATGGGAACTGGTGGCAGAGGCATTTCACAAGGGAAATGTGAAACGCAGAGGGTGATGCTTGGGATCCTGGGCCCTGAAGAGACGTGGTGGGAGGGAGCAGCGAGCTGCTACATGGGCCTGGGAACACCAGGGCACTGGCAAATGGAAACAACAGCTCTGCCTCCCACTCGGGACCTCTGTGTGGGAGTATGAGGTGAAAATGGTGTCTCAGGGTTCTAACTAGCCTGAGAACCCATGGGCAGTGCGCTTCTGTCAGCACAGTGATTGTTAGATCAGTAGAGCATCCAAAACAAAACAAAAAGACCTCAAAAAAAAGTCCAAAGAACTCCAAAGTCTGAGATTTTTTTTTTTGAGGCTCAATGTGACGTCAGAAGTGGAAAATTCCACACCTAATTTTATGTGATGGATTGTAGTCAAAGCACAGGCATCCCGAGGCCATTGCACAAAACCACATTGCAGCTCTGCATGTAAGGTGTTTGTGAAACCATAAGCGAATTTCATGTTTAGGCTTGGATCCTGTCTCCAACATATCTCATTATGTCTGTAAATATCCCTAAATCAAGAAGAGCGTGAAATGCCAAATCCTGCTGGTCCCAAGGATTTCCAAAATATCTTCCAGTTCATTGTGTTTTCTTGACTGGGTGAAAGATGCAGAAAGCGTGACATCATGATTGATCTTGATAAGAACAAGCATCATCATCTAGAACCATATTGTATGGAGATTGACGTCTGGGGTGTTACTGGAGGGCCTTTATCTGGTCTTAGTCCAGCATAGTTCTTAGTCCGTTAGCATCCGTGTATGTGTGGTACTTACGTGTGAGTGTGTAGGTGTGTGTGTTGGTGAGGCCAGAGCAGGATGTCTGCTGTCTTCCTCTTCCTCTTTGACTTATTGCCTTGAGACAGTGTCTTTCCTTGAGCCAGAGCTTTATTGTTTTGGCTAAGCTGGTTAGCCAGCAAACTCTGGGGAATCCATCTGACTCCATTAGCTTTAACTGATGTTACAGGTACGGGAAACCGTGCCTACTTGTTTGCGTGGGTGCTGGGGATTTGAACTGAGTCCTCGTGCTTGCAGAGTAAGTGCTCTTACGCACTGAGCCATCTCTTCAGTCCATATTGTCCTGTAGCGCGTCTGGCTACTAGCTCTGTAGCTAAGGATGACCTTGAATGCCTGATCTTCTTGCCCCCATCTCCTAAGTGCTGAGATTATAGCCATGAACCACCATATCTGGCTTGATCTTTTTTTTTTTTTTTTTTTCAGTTAGCCAGTACCAGATGCAGGAGCCTCTGGATTCAGGCATTGCCTATTTGAAACGAGATCACAATAAAACCACATGTTGCGATGACTGATGTGTCTCCTGCACCCTGCAGTTCCATCACCGTTTATTGTATTTCTTGCCAATGTTTGTGAAATGATCCATGGTGGCTTTCCTGTAGAGGTTGTCTGAGTAACCCCATAGTGTCATTTCTCTGCTCCCTTTGTCCGTGTATTGTGCTCTTGAGGATTCACCCCTTGTGGACTTGATTTCCCCCACTCAGCTTTTTGGTGGGGATGAGATGGACACTTCTGCAGTGAGCAACCAAGGATGGTCAGTAGTATCTGTCTAGCTTTCCTTCTACCTGAGGCACTCAGCGTGGGACAGCTCCCTTTGTCCACTGTACATTGAGATGCACTTTGTGGGTGCATCTCAAAGCAAAGGCAGGGTCGGGGGAGGCACTTTTTCCCTTTGACTGATTTTCAGAAATAAGATGTTGTGTGCATCCTTCATAAGTAACCGGTGGATGATGTCATCACCCTCCGCCTCCCCCCACACCCCCAGTAGTCTCTCTCTACAGACTAGGCTGGGTTTGAATTCAGGGTCTTCCTACCTCAGCCATTGCTAAGATTGCAGGTGTGCACCACCATACTGAACTTTATTCTTTTCATTTTTATTTTATGTGCATCAGTGTTTTGCCTGAATGTATGTCTGTGTGAGGGTGCCAGATTCACTGGAACTGGAGTTACAGACAGTTGTGAGCTGCCATGTGGGTGCTGGGAATTGAACCTGGGTCCTCTGGAAGAACAACAAGTGCTCTTAACCACTGAGCCATCATTCCAACCCCCAACTTTTTCTTTTTATAGTTTCTTATTAATGAACACACTTAAAAATATTAGGTAAATTTTATTCTGTTATAAATTGCTGTTCCCTTTCCTTCCCCCGCTCTCCCCCGCCATACTTACAGTGTGTCTGTATTCCCAACCCCGGCAGTGGTCAGCACCCCTTTGCTCTCTGATCTAATAAGATTCCCCCTGTCAGTCTTTATCATAGCCAGCTTCAGTTGTCAGCTTGACACACCTGGGAATTCCTCAATTGAGGAATTGCCTTGGTCAGATTGGCCTGTGAACATGTCTATGGAGCATTTTGTTAATTGCTAATTGATGTACAAGGGTCGAGCTTGCAGTGGGCAGTGTCTCTTCTAGGTAGTTGGGCTGGGTTTTATAGGAAAGGTAGCTGAGCAAGCCAGTGAGTGGTGGTCCTCCTATCTTTGGATCCTCCCCTTGGTCTCCGCTTCAGTTTCTGCCTCCCTTTTCTTGCCTTGAATTCCTGCTCTCAGTTTCTCTCCACAATGGACTGTAACCCGTAAGCCAAATAACCCTTTCCTCCCCAAATTGGTCTCTATCAGTGTTTTATTACAATAGCAGAAAAATAACTGGAATAGTCTTATATTTTATTTTCTCCCTTCCAGAACCATCCAGGCTTCCAGGGAGTTCTGAGAATGTTCTTTATAAGTCTTGTCAATTGCAATGATCAGAGCTGGGAAGTGTGTATTTTTTTTTAGAAAGATAACATGCATTATGGATTTATTCTGATGCAGCTTTCTACTTCAAACGTAGGACTAAGGGTTTGACCTCATCCATCTTATGGCACCATCTCCTTTCAAAGATGCCAACAATAAATGTTCTCAGAGATGCCAGTGCAGTGGCTTATGTTATGTTTTCGTAGCCCACACACCACAGTCTTAGAATAACAATGTCCCACTGTTGCTATTGATTGGCAATAGCAGAGGGTATGAATTTTCCCCTGTAGTTCTGTTTGTCTTGAGGGAATCATTCTTCTCTGCATAGCCATGCTGCTGGGGGAAATATTACTGTTTGTTACATCTTACTATTGGTGTTTAAATCTTAATTTAGTTTTGTAATTATAATTTATAATTAAAATATAGTTTCTTAGTCAAATCTTCAAAACAAGATATTCTTTTTTCCCCATGGTTTTTAAGACCGAGTTTTTCTGTGTAGCCCTGGCTATACTGGAACTCACCCTGTAGACCCCAGGCTGGCCTTGAACTCACAGAGATCCACTTGCCTCTGCCTCCTGAGTGCTGGGATTAAAGGTGTGCACCAACAAGCTATTCTTAAAAGTCTGGTTCTTTGAAATCTTATTCTTTCAATCCAGTTTTTACAATTCCTATATTGTTCCATCTCTATGTACAATAATTTTTCTTGCTTCATGGATTCTTTTTAGCTTGATTTCTTCTAGTGCTGATATGTATTAATTTTTAAAATGCTAATCAATCTTTTAAATTTTTCCTTACTAATTTTTATTATTATCGTGTGTGTACATGCCAAGTGCATGGGAAATCATGGAAGTGGTTTCACAACAGCAGATGGGAATTTTCCTTACTCTTTGGAAGTTTCTGGAAAAATCACACTTACTAATGGTCTAATGGTGTGTATGTGGTGTCTAACTTCCTGCATAGGGTTTTTTGTTTGTTTGTTTGTTTGTTTGTTTTGCCATCCCTGTGCTGTACTTTTGAACTGGCGCTCTTGTCGCCTGTCATCAGGGATCCATGGGCGACAGCACAGTAGGACGTGTGACAGCTTGAAACTCTGAAGCTGGAAGTCGGGTGGGGCTCTGAGCCTCCCTTGAACTAAAGATCTGTCCAGCCTTGCTATTTCCCCTTTTCCCAGATCCGAGGCCACCATGTGGCCCAGCTGGACCCCCTGGGCATCCTGGATGCAGACCTGGACTCCTTTGTGCCTTCAGACTTGATAACAACCATTGATAAATTGGGTAAGAGTTGTCCCCTTCCCTGTCAGCCTGGCAGTGCCATACTAGCTGGTGCCGGTTGAGGAGCCCCTGGGCTCATGTGGCTCTTTCTGCCTTTTCCAGTTACTACTACCCAGTGCCCCCAAAGGGCCATGTTCCCACTGCACTAGGTTCACCACTTACCCAAACCCACTGTCATGGCAGCAGCTGGGTGCATAGCCTTCCTCCTCCCTGATGAATGGTCAGGGCTTGCAGACAGGCCTGAAGGGCGGGAGCAGCGGATCCTGCCACGATGCTCTCCATCCCCTACCCGACTCCATTGTTTCCTCCTCTGCTGCCTTGGGCTCCTTTCCAGCCTTCTACGACCTGCAGGAGGCGGATCTGGATAAAGAGTTCCAGCTGCCCACCACGACTTTCATTGGGGGCTCGGAGAACATGCTCTCTCTGCGGGAGATCATTCGTCGCCTGGAGGTGAGCCCAGGAAGGCATGGCAGGCTTATTTCTGGCACTCTGAGCATATGTGTGTGTGTGGGGGGGGGAGTGCTTCCTGTTTAGTCTCAGACTCTGGGCCTATCACCCCTCTTGCTGGTTCCTCATAGACTTCCCCCGTCCCTCTTAGAGCACCTACTGCCAGCACATTGGCCTGGAGTTCATGTTTATTAATGATGTGGAGCAGTGCCAGTGGATCCGGCAGAAGTTTGAAACTCCTGGTGTGATGCAGTTTTCCAGCGAGGAGAAACGGACCCTGCTGGCCAGACTGGTGCGCTCCATGAGGTCAGCACCCCCTAATGGACAGCCTGCATGGCTGGAGGGGCACGCCTGGTACCCTAGTTGGGAAACTAGCAACGCCTAGCAAGGTAAAGCAGGCCACTTGCTCCCGCTGCTGGAGGCCCGAAGAAGCCCTTCGGCGAAGCATCAGGACAACATCCATGCTCAGTTACTTTGACTATCAGAGCCACATTGGTGGGCAGGGGTGTGGGACTCCAGAGAAGTACTGCAGCAGAGGTCACACTGAGCATGGGCAGAAATAACAAGAGTGTGGCTGTGGGAATGACGTGACAGAATGTTGTCTCTGCACTGTCCCTGGCATGGGTGAGCATGATGGCATCCTTGGCAGGGCAGTGGGATGCTACCCATTGGTGACTTGGAAGAAGGGACCTTCCAGAGCTGCAGGGGCCTGGCCGTGCATCTGGCTCAGCTGCTGGGTGCTACGTGACTTTCTGAGCAGTGGGGCATGGACTCAGCTTAGACTTTCGTAGGATAGAAGTGTTTGGGGCTTACATGGTAGCAGGAGGGTGGCGGAGCAGGAATATTGAAAGATGGCCTCTTAGGGATGTTTGGCTATGGAAAGGTATCTGGGAATGGGTGCCAGCTGGGGTTTGGGGAAGAGTTTCAGGTTGCCCTGCCATGTGCTTCTTGTTGGGTGAGTGTGACGTAGTGTTTAGTATGGGACCTGGACTGTACAGAAGGAGGTGGCTTTGTCCTTTTGTCCTGGGCATTCAGCTCCCAGATCTTGTGAAAAGCCCCCAGGAATCCCAACCTTCCTTTTCTACTCTTTCCCTTTTCTCCAAACAGGTTTGAAGACTTCCTGGCCAGGAAGTGGTCTTCAGAGAAGCGGTTTGGCCTAGAAGGCTGTGAGGTCATGATCCCTGCTCTTAAGACCATTATCGACAAATCTAGTGAGATGGGGATTGAAAACGTCATTCTGGGGATGCCGCACAGGTAGGACCACTGCGGACACCCCAGCCCCTGTGCCTTGAGGAGAGAGAGGAGGTGGACGTCAGGGTGAGGGGCATTGGTGGGACTTGAGGCAAGAAGCAGGGAACTTGATAGGTCCTCAGGGCCCTTGGTCTGGGCTGTCCATTACAGCAAGAGCCAAAGGCTTGGCCAAAGCCACAGGCGGCCAGGGCCCAGCTAGATTCTTTGGCATGTTGCTGCTTTCTCCAGGAGTTTCAGGACCTCAGACTGGGACACATTCTACTAGAAAGTCCTTAGAATGAGGGGATGTCAAGGGAGTGTGCTCAGGGATGTGAGAGTAGGTGGCCCTGTGTTGGCATCCTTTGAACGTAGGTCTGCAGAGATGGGTTGGAGGTCGGCGGTCTAGCTATACGTTGACCCCATGTTTCCTTTGATGAAGACTTCTAAGGAGTCCCCCTGAAGGAAGCTGGCTGACTGGAACTACTCCTGTGCCTGGTATAGACTAAGGCAGGACTGGAGGGTTGGGCTTGACCAGGGCTCCAGCAGGAAGAGTTCTGATAGGTCCCATGGCAGGTAGGGGGAGTGGCTGTACTTGGCCAATGTAGGAAGGTGGCCAGGTGTCAGGTAACAGCCCAGGACATTCTGGTCCTAGGGGCAGACTAAATGTGCTGGCCAACGTGATCCGCAAGGACCTGGAGCAAATCTTCTGTCAGTTTGATCCCAAGCTGGAAGCAGCAGATGAGGTGGGTGACATACCATGGCCCTGGGGCACCCCAGAGGGGCCTGGTGTTTGGGAGGTGGACTGGGAGAGTTTGGGGCTTGAGCTTCCAGACCAACAGACATGGAGCTGAATAAACATGAGGAAGAGCGGCAGGGGCTGGGGTGTTTGCAGAAGGTCCCTAAGGCTTTGGGGACTGGGTGCTGCATTGGATAATCCAAGCCAACCTCACTGTTTCCAGCTAGAGAAACTGAGGCTCAGAGAAGTGCAGGGGCCTCCTAGCAGTTTCTCTCTTGAGATTTTGTTGCTGAGGCTTTGTGCCCACAGTCCCTTTCTAAGCCTGGAATGGCTGTTGGCGCCGGAGAGACGTGAGTGGACTGATAGCTTCCTGTACCCATTAACCTGTCAAGGACATGTCTTCTTGCTCCCACCCTGTGGCTTGCATGCCACTGAGGCTCCTGGCCATGCCAAACCCTCAGTCCTACTGCCTCCTTGTCTCTCCTCTGCCTCGTTCAAGGCTCTGCCTGAATTTCCTAATCTGGACATTGTCTGTCTGTTGTTCTTCTGTTCCCTTTGTTTATCTCTGAGACCTTTTCAGCCTTAGTGTGTGAGTGCATGTGTGTGTGTGTGTGTGTGTGTGTGTGCCTGAGTGTCTGTGTGTATGTCTTTGTGCGTGTATGTGCCTATGTGTCTGTGCCTGTGTGTGTCTGTGGGTGTGTGAGTGTGTGTGTGTCTGTCTGTGGGTGTGTGTCTATGTGTGCATGTTTATCTCTGTGTGAGTGTATGTCTGTGTTTGTGTCTGTGTGTGTGTGTAACCCCGCATGTCCATTCATGTACATTTGTTTTCCTTTCAAGAATAAGGGAAGGACTTTGTCTCCAAAGCACTAGCACCCAGCATAGGTGTTTGGTTGGTTAAAGTAACTGGTCCAAGAACATCTCTCCAGGGTACCAGGGTAGGCCTAGGGTCCACATCCCTGGCTTCTAACCCAGGATCTTCCTGATCTTCATGGCCCTCAGCCACCTTCAAACCTGTAAGCCTTTGTTCTTCCATAGAATAGGCACAAGTCCATGAGATTTCATTCTTGTGGCATGTCTGTGGTGAGGCATGTTCTCTGTAGACACATGTATTTTTGTCCAGGAGCCATGAGAACAGCTTGGGGAACCATAGGTACCTGGCTGTTTCACTCACGACGTCATCGTTCCGTGTCGGCACGTAACGAACTTGGCTGATTAGCTTCTTGCTGCTGCTGCTGTGTTCTGTGCCAGGACTCTGCTTGCTGGAGCATCCTCATCGTTTTAGTGAGCATGTGACTGTAGTCAGGTGGTATATGAGAAGTGCAGTAACTTGGACAAGGAGCGGACACCACAGAGCCTCCCACCCACACAGCACGTACCTCCCAAGGCTGTGTCTTTTTTTGTTTTTGTTCTTCTTTGCCAATTGGATAGGTACAAAATGATTTATTTGTAACATATCTTTTGATATGAGTCAGCTGAGTATTTTGAATCTCTTGTGTAAAGTCCTTTCCATAGCTTTTATTTATTTTTCTTGGCTCTTTGGAACCTCACCCTACTACTTTGCAAAGCCATTTTGCATATTGAGGGCAATTAGCTCTTGCCCTGCATTTGACTTATCAGTTTGCCTCCCCCTTTGGTGTGCCTTGATTTTCTTCCCCTTGCTAATGGCAGATTTGTCCTGGCTTAGCTGTCTTACTGCAGAGGACTTTATATATTGTTTAGAAAGTAAGTTTTCTCTACTCCTAGATCCTAAAACATCCTCCAATACGTCTATGCATTTGATATCATCGGTGTGAGGAGTAAGGTAGCCAATGGGCTCTGGTACATTCCAAGAAGCCTGGCAGGCTGGTTCAGCCCTCTCCTGTATTGCCCTTCATTCGCTAAGGGAGGTGTTAGGTTCATCCTGTCCCACCTTTATCCTCAGGGCTCTGGTGATGTCAAATACCATCTGGGCATGTACCATGAGAGGATCAACCGTGTCACCAACAGGAACATCACACTATCACTGGTAGCTAACCCTTCCCATCTGGAAGCTGTGGACCCTGTGGTACAGGGGAAGACTAAGGCAGAACAGTTCTACCGTGGGGATACCCAGGGTAGGAAGGTGAGCTTGTCTAGGTCCAAAGGGTTAGGGTGGCATCTAAAGATCAGCTTTTGGGATACTAGATACTGAAGACTTGCATCCTGGGTCTCCATGGAAGAGGAAGTAGGATGGGCTTCCTAGGTTGGGGTACAGGATCCTGCTGGTTTATACCCTGCCATACAGGTCATGTCCATCTTGGTCCATGGGGATGCTGCCTTCGCTGGCCAGGGTGTTGTCTATGAGACCTTCCATCTGAGTGACCTGCCTTCCTACACCACCAATGGCACAGTACATGTTGTGGTCAACAACCAGGTAAGGGTGTAGGCTCCATGCCGGGTTGTATGCCCATTTCTATAAGTCCAGGCTGTGGATTGGTGGGAAAGTGAGCCAGCCCTGTGTTCATCCCACTGTCCAGCATCTTCCCAACACATGTGACCTCAGGTAGAGAACATGATCCCTAGCTCAGGATGCAACCTTAGGCAGGGAACCTGACCCCCAGCCCTGTGTCCTGGTCTGAAGAATTGGTTGAGACATAAGAAATACATATATGTATTGAACATACATCTGTATGCATTTATCGATAGTTTTGTGATCACTGTAGCTGGAGGATATACATCCGTGGGCTCAATTGACTGTGGATCCAAAATATTCAGATCAGGTATGGTGCTACGTGCCTGTCATTTTAGCACCGGGCTACTTAGTTCATGGACAGTTTGAGCTATACAGTGAGATCTGTCTCAGAAAATTCAAAGAGAGTGCTTGTCTAGATATGCATGCTTTGACCCAAGCACTACACATACACACATACACACACACACACACACACACACACATACACACACACACACACACGTATTCAGGGAAAAACAAAACAAAAAAAAAACTGAACCTGTACAAAACACAGACAGGCTTTTTTATGTTTTTGTTCTCTGCAGTTTATGTATAGTGACTATTTGCATACATACATTGTCTTAGGTCATGATTAAAGATATAGTAATGTATAGATTCTATGCAAATACTCCAGAGTTTTGTATGGGGGAGGTCCTGAAAAAAATCCTCACAAGTACCTGGAGATATCCACATGTGGCAGCCTAGAGGAGGCGGCCGGGACAGAAGGATGCAGCACAGTAGCCATAGGTGACCTTGGGCTCCCCTCGGCACATTGGTCTTAGCTGGCAGTCGCGTCCCTTTCTTTCCAGGCAGCTGAGGTTAATACAGCTAGAAACCCTGTGTTCTCTGCCGCATTTGCAGCAGCATTTAATCTTTCTTGATTTTCGCTGGGAGGCAGAACTTTAATAAGACTGCCTTATAGATGAACACACTGAAGTTGGGAATGGGAACGTCTTGCCCAGAGCGCTGTAGTTACTCTGGTAGATCGGATGCCCGTGCAGCAAAGGGGCCGGTAGAGAAGAGGCTCGGCTTCCTTGCCACAGCCACGGCTGTCACCACCACTGCCACCCCATAGCCACCGCAGTCATATCTGACCAACGACTTATTCACTATTGTCCTCTGTATGTCCCCTGTATGTCCTAGGCACCCCAATAGACCTCCCCCCTCCCCCAGCTCTTTGACCTGAGCAAGTTCCAGGACAGCCAGTAGGGCCACACATAGAAATCTGTCACAAAAAACAAAAACAAAAAGTCCGCAGGGGGGCACATCTGACTTCATTTGCCCTTGCAGATTGGCTTTACCACAGACCCCCGAATGGCTCGCTCCTCCCCTTACCCCACTGACGTGGCACGGGTGGTCAACGCACCCATCTTTCACGTGAATGCAGATGACCCAGAGGCCGTGATCTACGTGTGCAGTGTGGCGGCTGAGTGGAGGAATACCTTCAACAAAGATGTTGTCGTGGACCTGGTGGGCCTGGGGCACTGACTGAGGCCAAGACAGGGCTGGGGTGGATGGTTTATCCCTGCTATGCTGGGTATGCTGGGGGTATTTTGGGGTGCTGGAGCTGAGGATGGGGTGAGTAGCCCATTCCTGTCTTGCCAAGAAAGTCAGGTGTGTTTGAATGTACTGTTGCCATTGTAGGCGTGGTAGCCCATTCTTGCCAGTACCAAACAAACCAGGTGCTTTGGAGGTACTGGGACTAGAGCCGGGAAGGGGGCTCTTTCTGCTTTGCTGAACAAGCTTGGAGTATTTGAGGGCGCTGGAGTCAGAGAATTGTTGTGGCCCATCTCGATGTGCCACGTGGGCTAGGTCTTCAGTCACATCCTCAGTAAGGGCTAATTCTTTGAGATAGAGGGTTAGTGTCATCAAGAACCATCTGTGCAAAGGCCTTGGCATGGAACATTCAGGCGAGAGTTGCTTATTCAGGGTGCTTCCGATTGTGCACTGCCTGCATGTACACTGAGCACACAGCCTGGCTGCCCCTGCAGGTCTGTTACCGCCGGCGTGGCCACAATGAGATGGACGAGCCCATGTTCACACAGCCGCTCATGTACAAGCAGATCCACAAACAGGTACCCGTGCTGAAGAAGTATGCGGACAAGCTCATTGCCGAGGGCACAGTCACCTTACAGGAGTTTGAGGTAGGTAGGTGGGACTTCTGGGCATTGGGGCAGATCTCAGATGGACAGACTGGGAACGTGGAATGGTTGCAGATGACATCAACCCAGTGCTTGACATTGTAGATTTAAAGGAGTAGCTGATGTTCCTTGTTTCTGAAAGTCCCTGGTTCTAACAGGGCACGAGGAATTAAGGATATGGTTACAGCCGGGTGTGTGCCATGATGGGGAGGAACCAAGTTTCAGACAGGAAAGGGGTCTTTATGTAGGGGTGTTCTATCAGGGTCCTCTAAGAGGTATCCTTGCGCTAGACTCGTGCCTGGAATTCTGTATAGACACTTTAGTCCTTCTGCCTCTATGGACAGAACCTCTGAAAACAAGGTCCAAGTCCCTGCTTTATTTCCCTGGATCTCCTTACTGAGCATGCTCAGACTCATCAGACTTTGGAGTATCTGTCCAGGCCTCTGACCATGACATCCCTATGAACCAAGAAAGTTCTAGAAGTTGGTGATGGAGATCAGGGCTTTTGAGTTTGCGCTGACTGACCTTCTTGGATGCCCAGGATGTCAACTGTCTGCCCACGCCTTCCTCTCAATTCCAGGAAGAAATTGCCAAATACGACCGGATCTGTGAGGAGGCATATGGCAGGTCCAAGGATAAAAAGATCCTGCATATAAAGCACTGGCTAGATTCCCCCTGGCCTGGTGAGTGGGGCGCATGTGGCTCAGTGGCCCTCCTCATTGACGCAGGAACAATGCAATGACTCTGGGAAACAGTTGCTGCGGAGCTAGAGGCTGAGACTTGTCCCTGCCATGCAGGTGTGAGCAGTTCCTGCAGGTGGAGGCAGGCCAGTGTGGGGAGATGACATTAGAGCAAGCGTGGCCACCTGTGACTTGGCGGGGGTGGGGATACGCTGAGTCAGCTATGACCCCAGGGTTCAGGGGAGGCTGGGGCAGGTGTAGGTGAGTCTTCAGCTGAGGCAGGCCCCAGAGCACATATTCCCATATTCCGATGCATCTGGGGGAAGGAATTTCTGCTTTCCTGTTCTGCGACAGAAAACTGGCCAGGGCTGTCAAAAGTGCCACCACCAGTGTATGCATAGATTCTGTCCCCCTCAGGCTTCTTCAATGTGGATGGAGAGCCCAAGAGCATGACATGCCCAACCACGGGCATCCCTGAGGACATGCTGACCCACATTGGCAATGTGGCCAGCTCTGTGCCCCTGAAGGACTTTAAGATCCACACAGGTAAGGCTGCTGTGCAAGCTCCAACATGGGCCACTCTCGGAGCTGAGACTGTGCCCTGCAGGGAGATTTGTTGGGATATCAAGTGGGGGCAAAGCTTGTGGAATTTCCCTGTTTAACCTCTTGGTGTCCTGGTTCAACTCTCAAAACCTCCTTTGGGCCCCTTTCCACGTTACTAGCTCCTCTCCACTGGATTTGGGAAGTTAGGCATTTGTGAACACCACATTCCAATTGGGTGTCAGGGTGTGGTCTTAGATTGGTACCTTGAATCTGTCAAAGGCAGTTTCTAGTGTGTTCCTGGACCATGTAAGAGAATAGGGAAGCAGGGGGCATTTATGGAGGGTATAGAGGAGAACCTGGAATATAGGAAGAATTCTGCTGGCAAGGAGAACATGGGTGTGCCCCTAGCTCAGAACTATACCAAAGGGTAGTCCCATGAGTTCCTGGCTTGTGAGCCTAGCTAGTAGGTGGTCACTAACTCCAGCCCCTTAGCTGTGGCCACTGTAGTTTCTGTTTGAGAAGCTTGGGGCCTCTTGGCTATGGTAGGATGTCTATGTCTCCTCCAGATAGCTTCTAGGAGCACAACTCTTCCAGTGTGCATGAGGTACCCACTGATGACACCAAGACTTAGTGCTGAGTTCTGCGCACATTGCTGGGCTCTTGCTGGGTGTGTGGCATTAACCTTAGTCCCCTCTTCTGGAGAGCAGGGACAGACCTCCATGGATTTGTCATAGAGCACCCTGACCCAGTTCACTACAGCTTCCTCCTTTGTGGGGAAGCCCAGATCAGCCCTGGTGTGGCTGCAGTCGGGGAGGAGAGGCCGCAGGAACCCACCTACAGACTTTGCTTTCTGTTGAGCACTCAACCCCAGGGCTCTAGTGCTCCAGCCATCCAGGCCAGTGGCTGAACTTCGTGTTCCTCGGGGGTCCCTTCTCACAGGTCTCTCTCGCATCCTGCGTGGCCGTGCAGACATGACCAAGAAGCGCACAGTGGACTGGGCATTGGCAGAATACATGGCCTTCGGTTCACTGCTAAAGGAGGGTATCCACGTGCGGCTCAGTGGCCAAGATGTGGAGAGGGGCACATTCAGGTGAGGATGAGGCAGACAGGGGCCCTGACCCCCCAGTCACTGTCTTGTCTTCATTGAGCCCATGGATTTCCCAACTCAGCAGCACACAGCAGAGAAGGAGAATGTTGCTGTGCATCCTCTTCGGTGTGACCATCCCATGAGACCTTATAGGACAATAACAGGACCTGTCTACCTGCTGTTGCCCAGGTCTGGAGTAGATGACAGTCTGCCTGCTCTTTTTCCTGTCCCGATTTCTCTCCCCAGCCACCGGCATCATGTTCTTCATGACCAGGAAGTTGACCGGAGGACGTGTGTCCCTATGAACCACCTGTGGCCTGACCAGGCCCCCTATACTGTGTGCAACAGCTCCCTCTCAGAGTACGGAGTTCTAGGTGGGTGGGGTGCCTCTGGGTCTGGGAGGGTAGGCAATCTCGAATGCTGGGGGCGGGGGGGCAGATACTAGGATGCCCTAAGGAACTGTGGTTGGACCATTTTTAAAGACATTTGGGAGGTGAGATCATGTCTCACGTAGTCTAATGGGCATCTCAGTTTTGGGAAGGGGATGTTGCTTTGTTTTCTCTGTGACACCTAAACCCTCTCCTGGATACCAAACACAGAGTGTTCAGACAGGAAGTCCAGTAGAGTCCATAGCGGTATGTAGCTGCCTGGTGCTGAGCCTGTCTCTGGCCCTACATGCTTCTAAGCCCATTTTATCTTCTCTATCCTGCACCCCCAGAGCCCTGTGTTGAGGTTAGGCTTTGACTCCACAGGGACATGCTTCCCCTCGCTTTACCTGAAGCCAGCATACTTTCCCTTTCACTTCCTCTTCCTGGGGTTCAGCTCCACACGTGGGGAGTTGCCTCTGGGCTTGTGCCTGCCCTTTCTCAGGAACTCCGTACATATTTTCAGGGGTCTCTTTGATTGACGGTCCTGTGTAGTGTCCCCAAGTTGTTTTTAGACTTGGCTCCTGAGCCATATAAGGCTGAACGTGGCAGCATGTGGTGTAAGAAAAGCATGCTGCCACCAGGCGTGGCGCTGCAAGCCTTTAATTTCAGCAATCTGGAGGCAGATCTCTGTGAGTTCAAGGCCAGCCTGGTCTACAAAGTGAGTTCAGGACAGCCAGGGCTGTTGTATAGACTGTTTCGAAAATAAAGCAAAACCAAAAAAGAGAAGCATGCTTCCCCATCCAGGAAGACGCATCCAGACCTCCGTGGCCCAGTGAGCCCCTGGCTCACTCTGGCCTATTGGGAAGGCCAGGTTAGGACTGGTAGCATATACTGAGGGAAAGGGTGGGTTTAACTGGAACCGCTGCTGCTTGGCAGCATTGTACTGAGCTCTGTCTTGGTGTCCTTTGCCTAGGCTTTGAGCTGGGCTATGCCATGGCCAGCCCCAACGCCCTGGTCCTCTGGGAAGCTCAGTTTGGTGACTTCCACAACACAGCCCAGTGCATCATCGACCAGTTCATCAGCACTGGCCAGGCCAAGTGGGTGCGGCACAATGGCATCGTGCTCCTGCTGCCCCATGGCATGGAGGGCATGGTAAGGCTGTCGCAGGCCTAGCTAGGAGGGGCAGGGGCACCCCCTTGGTCCCTTGAAGAGCCTTCTGGGCCCCTGGAACTTGGGAGCCAGACTTGCGGGCAAGGTGGGAACAGGCACAGCCGGGGTTAATCCGCTCCTTGACGTCATCCAGGCACCCCGCGTCTGGGGTCTCTGCGGTCTCTGATGGTCACATGTATCCTTCCAGGGTCCAGAGCACTCTTCGGCAAGGCCAGAGAGGTTCCTGCAGATGAGTAATGATGACTCCGATGCCTACCCGGTGAGTGCCGCCTGCTCTCCCCAGGCACGGAGTGGAGGAGCCTAGGTGTAGACTGCTGTGCCTAGCCACCAGTGTCCACTGCAGGTGTTCACTGAGGACTTCGAGGTGAGCCAGCTCTATGACTGCAATTGGATTGTGGTGAACTGCTCCACACCAGCCAGCTACTTCCACGTGCTGCGCCGACAGATCCTGCTGCCCTTCCGCAAGCCAGTGAGCTGCCCCTAGCCCACTGGCCCTGGGGCGGTGCGAGGGTTGGATGTGGGGAGCCCTAGATGGGTAGGGGCTGCTGGCAGCTGGCTCTTTACCTTCCAGCTCATTGTGTTCACACCCAAGTCTCTGCTGAGGCACCCTGACGCCAAGTCCAGCTTTGACCAGATGGTGTCCGGTATGTGCCTTATCCGCTAGGATGGCCGTCTGTGTGAGGCTACTGGCTGCTGTGTGGTTTCTGCCTCTGAGCTCCCTGTCTTCCCAGCTCTGTCTTTGTTGACCTTTCAGCAGCTCCTGTCCTGGTCCTCACCTGCTATAGTATTGGGGGGTTGGCACCTTGGCTAGGTCAGATCACTGGGAATAAGCTCAGTGTCCGAGGAGCGGGTGGACTCTCTTAGCCCGTCAGTAAGAGCTGTCAGGAGGCCTGACGCTGGTGGAGCAGTGTCTGATTTGCTGCTATCACTCCTCCCTCCCTCCCTTTCTTCCTCCCTTCCTCCCTTCCTCTCTTCCTATATTTTCACCCATGAACTGAACAAACATTACTGGGAACCTGCTTGCCCTCTCCCGAAGCACTCAGTTTTATTGACTTGGGAATCAGGGGCCAGGCAAAGCACATGAAGACCTGAAGTGTGACTTGGTAGGGAATCAGGGAGGCGCAAGAACGAAGTGCAGTGGCTAGCAGAGCAGATCTGTGTCGGCTGAGTCCTGAGTAGCAGTGGGGACAGGGTTGAGCCCGTCAGGGCCTCAGCAGCATAGATCGTTATGGGATTTATTGTTGTTGTTTGTTTTGTTTTCATCTGTATGTGTCTATTGTGAGTGTCCAGTTGGAGTGGGCCATCAGAGCTCCACCGGTGTCACCGGACCTCCGGTGCATTGGCAACTTGTTGCCCCTTCCTTAGCAATTACCCTCTGCACCTCAGGGCTCTCACGTGAGCTGTGGCGATAGAGGGCTATTATAACAGCTTCCTGAGAAGTTTCGCAGCTTTCTTGATTTCAGGAAGGAGAGGTGGCCAAGGCTGGAGATGGAGACTCCGCTTCAGGGCTAAGGGGGAAGGAATGTACAGTGGCCTCCCCTGTACAGAAGCGAGTACAGGCTTCTCGCCCTGGCACTTGCAGACTGAGTGCCATGTGTCACAACTGGAGGGGACAGACCTGGAGCAGGATGGCGCTATCATGGGTCCAGCATGTTGCTTTCTCTGTCCTTCAGGGGCCCTCCCTATTCCTGTACCCCACACTTGGAATGTTTGTGTTCCTAGGGCTCTGCTCTTGTCCACAGGTCTGTCTCTACTCTCTCCCTGTGACGATTTAGGGTATCATCTGTCCTTTATTCCGTCATTGGGATCCAAAGCTGCCTAATGTAAACAGTCTGACCTGAACCAGCTCTCACTAGCCAGGAAGAGCCAGGGATGTCTGGGGTACTGGTGTGGATACCCCTGAGGTACCCGGTCCATCCCCTAGGAACTAGCTTCCAGCGAATGATTCCAGAAGATGGCCCTGCAGCACGGTCTCCTGGGCAGGTCCAGCGACTCATCTTCTGCACAGGAAAGGTGTACTATGACCTGGTAAAGGAGCGCGGCAGCCAGGGCCTGGAGGAGCAGGTGGCCATCACACGCCTGGAGCAGGTTTGCCTGGGTCTCAAGCACTGGTATGGTAGTGATGGACAGGTTCAATTCGCCAGCCTCTGGCTCTGGGCATTGTGTGGGTGCCGAGGTCCAGAGTAGGCCCTGCACATATTGTCCTTCCTTGACCGTGCCTTTTGTATCTCTGACTCCCCAGATCTCACCGTTCCCTTTTGACCTGATCATGCGGGAGGCAGAGAAGTACTCGGGTGCCGAGCTGGTGTGGTGTCAGGAGGAGCATAAGAACATGGGCTATTACGACTACATCAGTCCACGCTTCATGACTCTGCTTGGCCGCTCCCGGCCCATATGGTACTGGGCTACCTCCCACCGCTGCTAGCCTGCCTTTGGCTTTTGAGCCTGACAGTCCCATGCTGGCTTTTACTGCCTCATTGGCAGTGCCGTCCAGAACTAGCCTCTGCCCTTCTGTGGCAAGCACTGGAGTCCCTACAGGCTCTGAGTTCTCTGTCTACAGGTTAGCATCCCTTTCAGGGTTGGGGTATTGCTGGTGTTACCTTCAAAGAGAGTAAGCCTTAGTATTCTGTAGCCAAGATCAAATTACAGACCCTCTTATATGTCTTGGATCTCCTCCCTTTAATCTTAGCCCCTAGCCTTGGCACTGCCTCCCTTCTGCTAGAGAATGTTAGGGTAGGCTAACTGTGCAGGCCAGCCTCCTGAGGTGCCTAGCAGGTGGCAGCCACTGGTGCTCAGTGTAGGCATCTTTGTCTTTGTGATAGTGGGGCCAGGAATGAGAAATGTAGAAAAGCCAAAAGCGTCTTTGCTCCCAAAGTCCCTGGGATGTGGTGCGATTGTTGTCTCCATGAGCATGGAGTGATCATCTTCTCCCTGTCCTGGGTCTGGATAGCTGAGTTTGTTGTGGGTTCACAGTGCACAGAGAGGACTGCCCAGACAGGCCGTCTTCCTCATGGGGTTGACCCTGCAGTTCTAGATCGTGTGTGCAGCTAGTCCGGGTCCTCCCCTCAGCTGTCTCTCCTCCTCCAGGTATGTTGGTCGGGAACCAGCAGCTGCACCAGCCACTGGAAACAAGAACGCTCACTTGGTGTCGCTGAGGAAGTTTCTGGATATTGCCTTCAACCTGAAGGCCTTTGAGGGCAAGACATTTTAGGATAAGACCAGACCTGCTCAGGTCTTGCCAAGGGAGGTTATCTGGGAACTTTGTGGGCCTCAGACGAACCACACTCATGTAGCTAAACCACACTCATGTAGCAGTTGGGAACCAAAGACTAGCATTGCTAACTTTGGTCTCCGTGTTTTTTTCAGAATTGGTCAGGACCAAGAATTAGCATTCCTTAGATAAAAGGGAAATAGATTGTACTCTGTTACTCTGCTGACCTTTCTGGATCTCTCTCTCTCCCCTCTCTCTCTTTCTCAGTGGTTTCTCTCCTGTATTGTCTTGTCTCTAGCCAGCCCCTGGAGCTGTGCCTGTGACCCCCGTCCCGGCCGTCCTTGTTGCCATCCCCCTATTGTCCCCACCCATAGATCAAAGAGAAGCTCTCTGCTGTGCTCTTAGAAGTAGCAATGTCAGCAGTAACGGCAGGTGAAGCCCTACCACACCGGGAGACTCTGTGAGATGTGGCGCACATGTGTGAGCCAAAGCCGGAAACCAAAGAGCAGAGGAATAAAGACGTGCTCGGGAAAGACCCGCTGTTCTCCATTCATATTGCAAAGCTGGGCGCGGTGGCTGCAGTGGTGCGGGAAGGAGAATGGGAGGAAGAACAACAGGAGAGAGTGTGTCGGTGTCCACACCATAGATTTTCCCTTGAGCTGCGGGCAGGGTTTCCCCGCTCCTTACTTTCCACAGGTTATCTGTTCATGTGTCCCCTTCCCAGAGCGCCTCCTTGGAACTAGGTGCCAGACCTCCAGGTGTAAAGTCGCAGCTTCATGCAGCCTCTTCAAACTTGGGGTCCTGTTTATACATGTGGTTCCTTCCATTTTCTCTCCTTCCCTCCTTGTCGCTTTCCCTTCTTACGGAATCCCCCTGAGTGACACCTGTAGCCATTGTTGTCTTTTATTATGGTGTTTGCACTTTCATATGTGCCTGCCTTGTGTTAGGTCATGCTCCTGTGCCATTCCCATGCATGCTCTCCCTCCCCATCCTCACGAATTTCTCAAGTTCATATCTCAATCTATTTGTTTTGTTTGGTGATTCATCAAGATCAACCATGGTTCTTTTTCTGACTGGGTCGGGAGCTATCCAGTGAAGCCTCATGGGCCAGGGCCGGGTATACAGTTAAAGACTGAGACCTTTCCCAGATTGGTTGATAGTTTATATGGTTTTTTCTTTTGTTTTTATTTTTGTTTGTTTGTTTGGTCTCTGTGTGGTACTGGGAATTTAGTCTAGAGCCTGGTGTGTGTTGAGTGGTCATTTTCCCTCTGAAGTGTGTTTCTAGCCATGACAATGGTTTAATCCACTGAGTTATGAGTCTTTTTGGAGCAAAGTGTGGGTGTTACAGGAGTCATGAAAGGCTCCTTGTTTGAAGGAGAAGTTGTCCCAGAGGAATAAGATATTACCTGGAAGAAACCCAGGGACACATCTTAGAGAAACAAGCCTGAGGTTGCACGCGTGAGTGTGAAGTGCCATGAGCCTTACAGTCAACTTGTTGGGTACACTTATAATTCTACCACAAGAATACAGAAAAGGGTGCAAGCAGGCTGGAGGGGCCTCCTGTGCAGAGGTGAGTTTTAGATCACTAAATGGGGGGAAACAGCATGAACCAAGGGCTCTTCCCCAATCTAGTAAATGCTGACTGGGAACTAAGCTCTTTAGAAGGTCTGAGACTCCGTTAGAGGGCAAGGAGGAATACTGATAATATTAAATCTCATTTAAAATAACCGAGTATTTAGAGGAACGATGTATTTTCAATTTGAAAGATCACAGCTGGACACAGCCTGCTATACTCAGCAGAACTCTTGTAAGTGAAGATGAAAGCTCCCATGGTAAAAGTTGGCTAAAGGAATTCATGACTACCAAGTTAGCCCTGTGGAAGATTCTGGAAGGAATAGCCAAGATTGAAGACAAAGTTTAACATAGCCAAGAGGGTGATAAGAGGAATGAAATAATGATCCATAGCAGACAAGAACCAAGAAACACCCAAGTGCTACAAATCAACAAACAAAATGAACCAATAATAACTGAATATTAAATAGTCAGTTTCCTCATCAAAAGACAAGTACCTAGTAGATTAGATTTAAAAACAGGATTTTTTAAAAAAAATTTCTGCTTTCAAGAAACATCTTACTATCAAAAATAATCTCACTGTCAAAGATAAACCCTACCATAGGCTAAAATGGCAGAAAAGATATTCCATGCCAATAACCAGGAAATAGGTGGCACTGTGGTTCTAATTCCTGACAAAACAGACTTATCAGAAGGTAGAGACTCCGTACTGATGAAAGAAGTCCATGAAGAGGAAACCACGACTCTAGATGCACACTGAGCACGGGCTCCTAAGTTCATGAGACCAGTGATTAACGCTAACACAGTAGTGGAGTGCCTCCCTGTTATCATTAGATAACTGGACAAAAAGGAATATAGAAACATTGGAATCAGATTATATCACGGGCTTAACAGACATCTGTAGAGATTTCCACCCAGCCACTAAATAAATAATAAACCTCACCAGCACATGGAACCATCTCTAAAACAGATCACATACTAGAACACAAAGCAAATCTCAAAAAAATGTAGGAAAATTAATGCCCGGCATCCTGTCTGACCATAGTGGGGTAAAGCTATAAGACAGCGAGAGAAGCTAGGATATTACAAGCTCACGGAGGTTAGACAGCATACTATTGGATGATAAATAGTCATTGAAAGAATTAAAGTCTCTTCCAGAGGTCCTGAGTTCAATTCCCAGCATCCACATGGTGACTCCCAGCCATTTATAATGAGATCTGGTGCCCTCTTCTGGCCTGTAGGCACACATGGAAGGAATGTTGTATATGTAATAAATAAATAAAATATAAGAAAGTAATAAAAGCCCTAGAGTTGAATGACAGAGAACACAGTGTGTGAACATCTGTGGGATACAATGAAGGCAATCCTAGGGGAAGTCTATGCCTCTAAGTACATACATCTTAAAACACGCCTTTAATCCCAGCACTTGGGAGGCAGAGGCAGGCCTCTGAGTTCTAGGTTGGCCTGGTCTACAGAGTGAGTTCCAGGACAGCCAGGGCTACCCAGAGAGACCCTGTCTTGAAACAAAAACAAAAAATGCTGATGATGCACCTTAAAGCACTGGAAAAGCAAGAGCCTGTTCCCAGAGCAGTAGGGGTGGAGAAAACGAAGACGAGGACATAAATTAATGAAACAGAAAGGAAGACACTACTATGAATCAACAAGGAAAATAATTGACTCTTAGATAAACAAGATTGACAAATTAATCATAACAAAGACCCAAATTAATCAAATCAGAAATGAACAGGGAGACATTAAGGAAACTCAGAGACTTGTAAAGTTTTGTATTCCACACACTAAACAAGAAAACCAGAAAGAAACAAGAATTTTCAGACGACTATGATCTACCAAAGCGATTAAAGATAATGCACATTAAAATATCTATAACAAGCAGTAAAGTGGAGTCAAATATCCCTCAAATAAAAAAAAAAATGTCTCGTTCTTGATCTAACTGGTGCCCAAGGGAATGACGAAAGGACAGACCCAGAAAGGCTGGGATGGGGTGTGTGCTGTGCTCACTTGGGTACCTACTGCTGCAGCAATCCCCAAACAGCATTTCTTTCAGACAGCTGAAACAAGGAGGAGGGGTCTAGGTAAACAGCTGAGTGAGGAGGCGGGGTTATGGTAAGCAGCAGAGTGGGGAGGCGGGGTTATGGTAAACAGTAGACTGGGGAGGCGGGATTATGGTAAACAGCAGAAGGAATCATAGAGGTTGGGGTCATCCTGGAGGCGGAAGCTGTGGTTGACAGTTTCTGCACACACTGTCAACATTTGCACTTGAACCAGAGAAAGGCTTTGCTATGTCTGTGAGCCTCATCTGGGGAAGGCTTTGCCACTCCCCTAGGTCAGAGCAATTGGTGTCTTTGATAATGGCCATGCCCATGCCAACAATACACAATCCCTCAGGGCCTCCTCCCCTACTCCATGCAGGTCACCTGAGAGCTGAGTGCAATATTCTACCCGACTTTTAAAGAAAACCACAATATATCTCAGGTTATTATGTAAAGAGGAATGGTAACACTTCCAAATTCTCCTTATGAAGCCCTTATTGCCCTGCTACCCAGGCAAATAAAGAGAATTACAGGCTGATCTCCCCATATGGACATAGATGCAAAGATTCTCAATGGAATATTTTCAAATCTGATTCAAGAACATACCAAAAAGATATTTATGATTTTATTCCAGACATGCATGTTGGACTCTAGTGTCCAAACCGAGAAGGAGTCGCCCCCAGAGACCACCTCATATACCACAGCCAATGCAAAAGCATGAGGATTTTATTAATTCTGTCATGACAGGGTCCCTCAGCATTCGGGAAGCCGAGAGACCCCGAATAGCTGGTACAGTCTATTTTTAAAGGAGAAGGCCCCATAGAAACAAGAGGGGTTGTTCCTTGACCATTATGATTGGCTTATTTGAAAAGGGCTAATACCAATAATTGGCTGGAGAGCTATTGTCAGATCAGATGAGGTAAGAGGTCATTTTGACCCCGTTTCCCAGGGGACCGAGACAAAACATACGTGTATGGGTAATTGTTCAGGAACTGAGTACGTGCATGTGTAGCTGTTAGGTCCTTGGTTCCCAGGGGAGAAGGGGAAGCACTAAGGCACAGAGGCTGAGAGGCAAAAATGGCTTCAGAATTGTCTTAAAGTCTTGCATGCAGTGTTGTTCAACATAACTAAATCAGGAAATGTAATTCATCTTGTAAGTGGTCTTGTGCTTGACTATATTGAAATCAACTAACACCCAAGTTTCGGGGCACACCTGGAGGGATATTTCTTGACTGGGTCATTTGAGGTGGGAAGACCCACCCTAAGTCTGGGCCACACCTTCAGGTGACACCCTCCATAAAAGAAAATGAAACATGGAAGCCTTTTGGTTTTTTACCTGCTTGCCCCATTCTCACAGCAAGTCCATCCATCCTGCTGCTGAGGCGTTCCCTTGCTGGTCTTAGAGCGCGTTTCTTCAGGTTTTCAACTCAGACCAAAGGCCAGCTGAGACATCCAGCCTTGTGGACTGAACAACTACCAGATGCTTGGCCTTTCCGTCAGAAAACAGCCATCGTTGGACTAGCCAGACCACAGCCTGTAAACCACTCCAATAAACCATATCTGCAGTCTTACCACTGAAGGACCACCTATGGCTGTGACCAACACTGGCCCGTGACCTGTAAAGGATGGCCCACTGGTGAGACGACCATATGTGACCCAACCTCCAGAGGACCCACCCGAGACTGTACCGGGCATCTGCAAACTGAAGAGGGTTTCCCAAGAGAGTGAAGATTGGAGCCAGGAAGCAGGCCAGAATTCACATATATTCTATACCCCCAAGTGGTCCCCTCCCTTCGTATTTATTCTTCCTTTATTTAATACCCAGTGCCACTTTTGCAGGCAGCTTTATCCTGCTCTGCTTGGAAGCTTCCGTAGTGCCTTGTGGTCCTATGAAAGCTAGTCCTCAGATACG